AGAACGCTGAAAGGGAGGACACATGAACAAGCATTTCTCCCTCAGTGACTGCCAGTCCCCCAGGCCCCACACCCGCTACTCTTCTACACTCACAGGAATATAAATAAAACTAATCCCCTTCTTTCACCCGAGCATTTTCTCTTCTGGCCTCTGGCTGATGGGTCTGTAATCCCTACCCAATCCCTGTTGCACTCATCTCAGCTCTGCTTCCCATCTGCTCACAGCAAACAGCTCACCCAGGGAAGGAACCCTCCCAGGAAGAGAGAGGAGCTGGGGAAGAAATCACTGGCTAGTAGAGGTTTCATCACTGAAGGATGGGATCTCACTGAAGAGATTCTCAAGTAAGGACGTTAAGATTTGGTTATGACCCAAAGCGCCTGGCACATAGTAGGGGCTCAATATATATTTACAGAATGAATTAAGCTTTAAAGGGGAAGTTCAGGTCTGTGTTTCCATGGGGCTGAACTAACACTGTTATCCTGAGCAACTCTGATCCCAAAAACACACCGGAACTTCAAATGGGGAAGGGACCAAGGACAAACCCTTTAGGACACAAGACGGAACAGAAAGAGCAAAAAGTAAGGCTGGCCTTTAGAGCCTCAGGTGGTTGATTTCATTAGGTGCTGGTTTCGGAGGAGCCAGTACATCCCCAAGTCATCTCTATTCCTCTGAAGATCAATCTCCAACAGGGTCCAAAGTCCTTGACCTCTATTCCATACATCACTGGCTTCTCTATTATCATTATCTACCTTTGATTATGGGGGAGGAGGTTCTCTTTTCATAACTCACAGCCCTTTGTTTTCCCTATATGGCCATTGACTCTTTAAGACCAGGACTTTATGTAATAATTCTGGCTAACATGATGCCCAGCAGGATGAGGTCAAAAAGAATGAGCATGAACATACCCACCACACAGAAGTCAAAGAGCAATGATTGTAGTGTATATGTGGGACATTCGACAATGGGAGAGTGCTTGCGAAAATTCAGGATCCTTGCCTTACTTGGAAGACTTGAGGAGGAACCTGGGCTTAAGCATCACTTCTGGGAAGTGTCCCCACTCCCTAATGCCCTGTCACCATCTCCCACAGGGTATTCCTGCAGTTTTATCACAAAGATGACATCATGTGTCTGTTTCTTGGGTGTCTCCCTGTTTGTCTGGGAAACTCTTAAGACCCAGGAAAATGTGTTCACTGTTACACCCTAGCACCATCCCAAGGACCTGGCACATAGTAGGTGCTTAGTAATGTTTACTGAATGTTTAATAGGTAACTAACTACCTATTAAAGAGGGCCAGGCAAGAGGATCCTGGACAGCAATCATCTGGACTCAGCAGATCCAAAGTTCAGCTAGCAAGAAATCAGCAGGAATCGCCTTGTGAGATAGGGTAGGTATAGGCATTGCACATTCCTGGCGAGCCTGTCCTAGTCACTGAAGAAGCTGACTACTGAGAAAGCCCACCAGGAGGAGCAGTGCAAGAGATTAGTCAGTTCTTGTGACCATGGCCTCAGGAGGGTGTGCCCTTCAGTGTGGATGCTGCTCCCAACGGGGCAAGTTTGAGGGATTCATACTTCCTGGGGTGGGTGATTATCATGAATCACCTCCTTTCACCCTCCTAATGACCCTAGGGGAAAGGTCTGAGGATCCACTTTACAGGTGCAAGTCTGAGATCTCAGTCCTATAGACTCCAGAGCCTAACAGGTGCTTAGCACAGGTTAACAATGAAACATTATACACAACCACATATCCTCAGAGTAGATGGAGGCCTTAAACCACCTGATTTGCCTCCCCTTCTTCAAAGATACTCAAATCCCTACAAATGCAATGTTCCAACAAATTCTTGCCTCCTCCCTCCCATGCTAAAGGATTCACAATCTCTCCAGCCAGCCTAGCTGATCCTTGGGCAGCGCTGACCACTAAAAATGCTTTAGTGCAGAATCATAATTTCCACCCGACAACTTCACATCTTCTCCCTGTATCTATACAGAGCAAACCTAACCTTCAGCACATGACTGTCCTCCAGCTCTCTGGAGGCGGTTATCAGCTCTCCTCCCCCAGGGTTTAGAAAGATGCCTCAGAAAGAGATTGCATAGGCTGCTCAGTGTGAAACTGGTTTCATGCAGATTAACAAATGTCTTTCCCTGATAAAAAGAAATCAAGAGAGAAGATGGTTATCTTGTGGCAGTGAGAGCTGTCTCTGTCCTGGGGGGAGGGGGAGAGAGGACCTGGACTAGAAACCAAAATTTATATAACCTTAACAACAGTCTTCAGGAAAACATTAATATGGAGATCAACCAAATACTTTGTTTTACGAAGGAGGAACAGAGAAGCAGAGAGGGAAAATGACACAAAGGGCCCTAGCTGGTTTGGCTCAGTGGATAGAGCGTAGGCCTGTAGACTGAAGGGTTCCAGGTTTGATTCCAGTCAAGGGCATATGCCTGGGTTTCGGGCTCGATCCCCAGTAAGGGGTGTGCAGAAGGCAGCCGATCAATGATTCCCTCTCATCATTGATGTTTCTATCTCTCTCTCCCTCTCCCTTCCTCTCTGAAATCAATAAAAATATAGTTGTTGTTGTTTTTAAAAGAAAATGACACAAAGGAACACAGTTACTAAGTGGCAGGGTCACAGCTAGACCCTTTGAACCTGCAGCCAAGTCCCACCCTTCTCCCTGCTCCAAAGCCCTAGAGCACCTGTTATTTCAGAACTGCAATCCCATAATAACTGCATTTCCCTAACAGCTGCACTGCCTACAGTCTCACTTTCACCACCCCCCAAGAGGTAAAGCAGGAAACAGCATTAGCTCCCTATTCCAGGGAGCAATAAGGAAGCTTGAATTTATACTTGGAATTCAAAGCTTGGTGAAGATTCTTTGCTATTTGTTGACAATGGGCTATTGAAAGAGGCCATAGGGTATCTTCCTTTGGAAATGAATCCCTAACTAAGAAAGGGAAGGGAACCGCCTCTACCTGCTCTTCAGTTTGCACTTTTTATGATGGCTGGGTGTGCTGACATGGGAAGACCTTCAAAACCATACTCCTCTTCCCTTTCTGCCTCCCCAACCAGCGTGCATCAGAAAAAGAGCCCCAGGATCACCAGCTCTGTGACCTGGGGCATCCCTCCTATTCAGGTTGAGCTCTAGTCTCCTCACCTACAAAAATAGTGGCACCCGGCCAGCGTGGCTCAGTGGTTGAGCTGTGATCTATGAACCAGAACGTCACAGTTTGATTCCTGGTCAGGGCATATGCCCAGGTTTTGGGCTCAATCCCCAGTGTGGGGTGTGCAGGAGGCAGCCAATCAATGATTCTCTCTCATCATTTTTGTTTCTCTCTCTCTCCCTTCCTTTCTGAAATCAATAAAAATATATATTTTTTAAAATAATGGCAATATACTCTGCCCTATGAGTAACCACTGTGGAGCTCAGACGACAGAAAGCAGGTAGGATGCAGAGTGACTCACTCCCACAACTGTCTCTTCCCTTCTCTTGCTTCCTCACTGACCTGCCTCCTCTGCTGCTCTACTACCTAGAGCAGGTGAAAGGTCATGAAGATCTCACCCAAGGGAGGGAAAAGGAAAACAATTGTGACATCATCCTATTAGTTCCTCACACTTGTATGAGGTCTCTATTTTTCCAAAGAGCCTTAACAATTAGTAGCATTATGTTTACCATTTCCTAGTCCCCTATGTGCCGCACACCACACAAGAGGGCTCTGCGTGCTCTCTTGGAGTTAGTCCTCACAACCACCCATTTTACAGATGACAATACTTCGACTCAGAAGTTAAGGGATAGACAGCTAGTACTCCTGCACAAGCTCCCATGTAGATGGGCTACTTTTGTCAAGAGCTAGATTTTTAATTCTATTCAGGCAGAGCCTGTGCCCAGGGCTTAACACTAGGCCTGTGCCTAAACTGCACTCAATAATTATTTGTCGAATGAGTCTGTGAATATCTGACTCAAAAACCTATTATGCTTTAACACTTCTCTATATTAAGTCTCATTATGTCATTTCATCTCAAAACAAATCTCTAAGGCATGATCATCCCATTTGACAGATAAGGAAAGAGTGGCTGGAATAAGTAAGTAGCCTAAGATTTTACAGCCTTTGTGCAGCAAGGCTGGAGGCGGGCTACCTTCAGATCCTTTGCCCCCCGCCACAGCTGTCCTGGGGGCCCTGGGGGAATTAATAATTATAGACCGCCGGGGCTGGACCCATCTCCGCACTCACCAGCTCACAGCTCAGGAGGTCACCCCGGAGCCCTGAGCTGCTCCCCGGGAGAGGGGGCAGGTGGGCCGGGCGTCCCTCAGGAGGGAAACAAGGGGAGGAGGGGGAGGCCAGTCCTGGGCGCAGTGCCAGGCAGCAGCGGGCACGAGGTGACCCCGATCCCACAGAGAGCTCGTCCAGGCCCAAACACCCCCGCGGACCCCCGCTCCGGACTAACTCTGTCCAGCTTGGGGGTTAGAGGAGGGAGGGGAGGCTACAGGCTTCCAGGAAAATCGCCGTCCAGCGATGAATCACCGGCACATGATCCCGGTAGGGAGGGGAGGTGGGAATGGGCGCGGGATGTGGCCGCGGCTTGCGGAGCGCAGGCCTCGCGCGGCCCCCCTCCAGCCTGGACTCGGGGAGGGGAGGGAAG